TCATTCCATGGCTACATGACTCGATCAACTGGTTAAGATTTGTTCACCAATGATTTTAACTTACTTTGGGAAAGATTCCCGGAAAACACAGATTTATTATTGGAAAAAGGCATTTACCCTTACAAATATATATCAACTCCTTGGACCAATTCCAAGAGACGAGCCTACCACGAAGAGACGTCTTTGATAGTTCTCTGAAGCAGTCCACCCTGACCAAGAAAGAACATGCCCATCCACAAACAGTATGGCACACGTTTAACTGTAAAAACCTAGGCGACTACCACAACCCATATGTGGAAACAGACGTTTTGTTACTAGCGGGTGTATTTGAGAACTTCCGCAAAGTCTGTAAACAGAACTACGGCCTTGACCCGGCCAAGGGCCTGTTGTGGGATGCTCTGTTAAAGCACTCTGGCATAAAATTACAACTTTGACAGACACAGACCAGTACTTATTCTTTAAAACTTGCACGACAAACACAACGACTTCCCGCTGGCACCTGAAAACTTAGTAGTGCCCAATGAATGGTTCTCAGACTACCAACAAAAACTGATCAACAACGGTGAGCAAGTACCTTGGTAGATAAACCCATGGCCACTTTAGGCACTAAACATAAATACGTGGTTCATTATCGTATGTTGCAGAAGTACCTGAAACTTGGCCTTCAATTAAAAGAGGTTCACTGCGTCATGTCGTTTAAACAGGCGCCTTGGATAAAGAGTTACATCGATGAAACTAATGAGTTGCGCAAATTAGCCAAGTTTGATTTTGATAATTCAGTCTTTGGCACGACGATGGAAAATGTAAGATCCCGAATCAATGGTCATTTATTAAGGGACGTGCAGGATGCTACCAAATACAAAAAAATACAACCTTTAAACTGCACTATAAGTCGACTACACCATTTAAAGAATGTGATCTCTCGTTTGTCGAAATGTTTCACGTAAAAACCAAGTTAAATATGCCCATTTACTGCAGAGTGAGCTTCCTTGACTTGTCTAAAACTTTAATGTACAACTATTACTACAAAAAATTAAAAAATAATTTCGGCGATAAAGTAAATTTACTTTACACGGATACGGATTCTCTGTTAGTTCAGATCCAAACTGATGATTTAAACAGCTACTTGAGTAACAAGAGCAGATTATTCGACTTTAATAATTTACCAGTCTGACCATAAACTTTACGACTCCAAAAACAAAAAGTAATCAGTAAAATGAAAGACCAATTCGGGGGTAAGGTCATTTCAGAGGTCGTCTGCATTATAGGCCTAAATGTATTCGATCTTAACGGAAGATAAAATGTAAAGAAAGCAAAAGAAGTCACTAAGGTTGTCACCGAGAAACACTTATCACACGCCATGTATAAAAGCTGCCTATTTGAAAGGGTGCAACATGTTAATAAACAGCATTTACTTAGATCGGATAAACATCAAGTATACACCATCACGCAAGATAAGCTGCGTCTTTCACCGCTAGACACTAAACGTTATATATTACCAAATAGTATTACGATTGTTGGTGTGCTCCATCATAAGAAAATCACACTCCCCGATCTTCAGTCCCTGCTAGGTCATCTCAATTTTGTTTGTAAGACAGTAAGACCTGGTAGGCCCTTTTGCATTGTTTGCATTGTTTGGGGGATCTTCAAACCTCATCACAAAATTTGCATTACTTCAGGTGCATGAGCAGACTTGCTGGCGTGGCAGCAGTTTTGGGCACATTTTCGTGGAATGATAATTTTTCCGGATTCGGTATGGAACAGTAATGAGCAATTGCACACATACACTGATCCTCTGCTGAAATTGGTTTTGGGGCTTACTTTGCTGGGCATTGGTGTTGAAGGAAGTGGCCTGAGCATGTGAAAAGTCAGTCCCTTTCTATTGCCTGATTTGAGTTGTTCTCTATTGTACTAGTGGTCCAGAAGTGGGCTGTTCAGTTGCATAATAAATGTGTGATATTTTAGTGTGACAATCAGGCTATAGTTAGTGTCATCAATAGACAAATGTCTAAAGTCACTTGATGAGTTTGGTGCGATGCCTTGTGATGACATGTCTCACATGTAATATCCCGTTTCGATCTAAGCATGTTACAGACTTGGATAATGGCATTGCAGATGCTCTTTCATATTTTCAGATGACCAGACTTTTTCATCTCACACCCGCTGCAGACCATGATATGACCCCATTGCCCGCCAACCTGTGGAGTGTCTTCAGTTAGAGGTCCAGAGTCTTTAGCAGGACGTGGTCGCCCCCCACACGAACTTATCTTATCAAGAGGGCTTGGCATCTTTTTCGTTGGTTTAGTAAAAGCCACAATTTCGATGTTGAACACCCCCCTTCCTGCTTCAGATAGTTCAATTTATTGCATTTTTGTCGGTATCTGGGTATGCCCCCACAACGATTACCTCTTACGTCTCGGGGGGTTTCCTCCAATTTGCAGTTAATGAGTTATCCTGATTTTACTATGAATTTCCTGGTCAAACGTTTACTGGAGGGATGTCGTAGGCGTAGTAGTCGTCGCGGGTGACGGCGCCCTATCACTTATGACCTTTTATGTCGTACAGTCCCAGCCTTGCAGTCCGTTTGCTTGAGTAATTTTGAGGCTCGGCTTTTCCGAGTGGCTTTCTTACTTGCTTTTTTGGTTCCTTTGCATTGGGTAATTTACTGCCCAATTCCATCAATCTTCTGGTTTGTTGTGTCAGTCTGATGTTAAAGACTCCCCTTTAAGGGTCAAACTTGTCCTACTTCACTCAAAAACAGATCAATATGGTAATGGTTATGTAATCTCCATCCCAGCAGCGCAGAGCCGTTATGCCCTGTTCAGGTGACATTGTCTTATCTTGTCTGTTCAACATCCCCCATGGCCTGTTTTTCTCTCATTTCGATGGGATTCCTGTCACACTTTTCCAGTTTGTCATGGTACTCCATCGTACCCTTGAGTTCAAAGGGCTTTACGATGCCAGATTTACCTCTCATTCTTTTTGCATAGGTGCAGCCATGTCTGTGACTATGGCAGGCATGTCCAAGGATGATGTTGAAGCTTTGGGTGTTGGGAGTCTAAGGCTTGCCGTCATTACAGTCGGATTCCCCCAGCTATTTTCCATTGAACGCTCCAGTTTGTCTTAGTTTAAGTAACTTTGCTTGTGTGTTCTTCTGCTTTTCTTTTTCATTTTTCTTGTGAGAATTGCCCACTGGCAAGCCGACTGTGTGGGTCATTGGAGATGGCTTTGTGTGCTGGTGTGCCCGGGTGGCGGGTCATCGCCCTGGGGAAAGTGCCTTAATGATGGGATGGTGAGGACTCTGTATGTTCCAGTTCCCTGTTGGAAGTGTGGTCAGCGTGGTGCCAATGACCCGGGGCTTGTACACAAGCACCTACTGAGTATTTTAGCATGGCAGTGCATCAATTTGACCAGGGAACTAACACTATCATTTTTTTATTTGGAGTTGCTGTTCCGCCCGCCCAACTTACCCCCATGCCCTGAAGCAGAGTTCCCTTGAGGGTATGCGACATTCGCCAACATGTGCGTTCATTCATTATTTTGAAATGTTTGCGGGGGTGATATTGATCAACTTGTCATCTGTTGCATTATATCATCCAGACGAATTTCACTTGACTGATGATAGTTGCTCGGTTTTCGTTTTTTAAGGAGCCAGAAAGGGAATTTCCCTCCTTTTTGCCTTAATGGTTTTAAGGGGGTTTTCAGCCTTCTTAGAATTGGCAAAGTCACCGACTTTGGTGGGAGTTGGCATGCGAATTTCATTCAGGGACCGCAAAATTGACCTCAGTTTTTAAGTCACTATATTATTTATTTAAGACGCTTCAGGGAATGTGCCGAAAGGAAATGCCTGACCCCTTCCTTTGTCAGGGGAAGCACTAGATTATTAATGGCCAAATTAAGAAAATGCTATTTTGTACTCACCAATTTCTGTCAATTGACATAATAGTTGTGAGTGGCTTTTGAAACTGCATATTAGAGATAAAGATATTGTATCCTGGAGTAGATCCTTGTTAATTTGTTAATGAGAATTGGTTAATTTTGCATTCTGTCATTTGTAATTGCTGTTTGAATTTGCATATCGAAGGCCTTGCACTGCGCACATACATTCCAAAATGATTTACTGCTCCATCTGCTTTTGGCGGAAACACATGCTGATAATTGCTTGTTTTACACATTTTGCTGCTATTTTTATACATTCTGTTGATATTAGTTGCTGTTCCGAATCACCAGCTTTGGGTGGGAACAATTCCTGACAATCGATGCTTGCCATAGTACCGGTACTTTTGCTGATATTAATTGCTGTTTTGCGTCACCAGCTTCGGGTGGGAACAATCCCTGACAATTGCTGCTTGCCATAGTACCGGGACTTTTGCTGATATTAATTGCTGTTTTGCGTCACCAGCTTCGGGTGGGAACAATCCCTGACAATTGCTGCTTGCCATAGTACCGGGACTTTTGCTGATATTAATTGCTGTTTTGCGTCACCAACTTCGAGTGGGAACAATCCCTGACAATTGCTGATTGCCATAGTACCGGTACTTTTGCTGATATTAATTGCTGTTTTGCGTCACCAGCTTCGGGTGGGAACAATCCCTGACAATTGCTGATTGCCATAGTACCGGTACTTTTGCTGATATTAATTGCTGTTTTGCGTCACCAGCTTAAGGTGGGAACAACCTGAACTGTGTCAAGTTCAATAAACAGCTGCTCAGGTCAATCAACAAAGTTAGAATGCAAGTGTCCACCTGTCCCTAAGTTCAGTTCTCTGGTCAAGTTCATGCGGAGATAAGCCACATTTAAAAGAATGAGGAATGGTATCTAAATTTTCTGGCACCACCCCTCTTAACAGATTAAACTTAACACCATAGATTCAGGGATAATTATCAACAATGGCTTCATTGTGAATAAGGTCTACTCTAATGCCTGAAGTTTTGGAGCCAACACGTGATGCGACAAGTACAGAGGAATCTTGTCTAAGCAATGGAATCTATCACACTCACCCCTTACGTCTGATGTCTTCCACATAAGCATACGGTTTCAAAACATACTTCCTTTCTTCTTTTGGCGTAAAGGTCCAAACATGAGCCTATAAGGAAAGAAGGGTTCATTTCATTTTCAGAACAATCATGTGGCATTTTATGACAAATTTCTCCCTTGATAACTTGAAATGTCTCAAATTTACTCAATTTGGAATTTTGCATTTGGGTACATTCAGCAGAGATAAGGCCATATCGGCTACTTATCTTCACTTGATGTAAAATACAAGGAGGAAACAAAACAGAATCACATGTACTGCTCTAACCACAAGTACATATTGAACAATAAAAAAAAATGGGCTTAGCAAAAGAATTTCATATAAAAATGTCCCAATTTTACTCTAGTGGTATTTTTAGGCATGGGATTATAAATACTCTGACTGTTCTCATGCGTGCTAACACCAGGAATGCCTTCTTTTGTTTAAGCAACCTCCAGTTGGTACGCGTCTGAACGGCACTCCCGTTCTTTCACATTCCTTTACAACAAAAGGCTAGTCATGGTCTGTGCAAACGGGAAGATCTCGTGGCACTGAAAGTATGCAAAGAAATATGTGTGAAGTCCCCCCCACAGGAGTAGTATTACTGACACCGTGGTGGGTAGGAAACAAATCCCTGGCAAACAGCCAACAGCACTGAAAATTAAACATTAGGCTACATCTTGGCCATTCAGCCAGGGGGCACTCTTCTGCTCAACCAGCCAAAGAAACCAAGCTGCCTTTCCTGACCTAATTTTGATCTTGATTGAATGCATAACACAAAGACCCATGGGCACTACATTCCACAGAAAAATGCTTTGCCTCTGATAAATACATTGTGCATATTGTATAAAGTTTGGAGGTGGGTTTCCTGTTATCGTGTGTAGAAACATCTATTGGGTCTTTAGCAGTTTCAACATTTTTCCTCTGCCTCAGAATTTATATGTGAGCCTCGAAGAGGAAATCACGGAATGTAACAGTCAGGGATGGTGCTATAATACAATACACTGGTCAAGTACTTTGACAGGAAAAGTGAATGTCAAAAAATATTTATGTAAGACCTGTTTCCATGAGAATAGTCTACAGGCTATTAATTATGGTTCAGACCAAGGGAGAAATTAACTTTTATTCCCTCCCTAATAGGGAGGGAATAAAATCAGGACGTGTATTTCAAAAAATTCTCTGAGGAGCTTTCATCTAATCAAAGATTAACAGCCAACTGATCGTCATGTATTAAAAATGTAAATTTTCCTGAAGTAATGGGGCTGGCTACCTTTTTTTAGTAGTTGCATCTGTTGATTGACAAAACCTGCCTTGACATTTCTTTATCCAAACCTGAACCACATGTGGCTTTTATGTTTTCCCACCCACTGTTAAATATGTTTTTTAAATGTTTTATTCCAAGCACCCAACTCATCAGAAATATTCATGCTTCCCATCTCAGCATTTCTTTTCCATCCAAACCTGGACCATGTGTGTGTTTTTTTTCCCTGCACCACTTCATTTTTATTCCAAGTACCCAACCCGCCAAAAAACATTTAATTCTTCCTATCTCAGCATTTTTTTCTATCCAAAACTGGATAACGTGGTTTTTATTTTTCTCAAGCCCACCACCAAATAATTTGTTATTCCCAGCATCCAACCCATAAAAAATATTAATCCTTTCCATCTCAGCATTTCAGCGTGCAAACAGACAATATCTTAATTATATAAAACAGGTTTTGCCCTTGCCCAACGTATATTAATAAGCACTGTATGCTCAGTGCTTGTCTGAGAGCTTGCGGAAAAAAAAAAAACTCATAAGCTTACTCGGGTGGGACTCAAACCCACAACCTCCTGCTTACTAGTGCAGATGTCTTAACCACTCGACCACCGAGCTTGCCGAGGTCGGCTGGCCGGTCCGAGTCAAATGAAGCAGCGGGTACCGCGAACTATTTTCAAGATGTATTTTTTGCGTTGGGGAGATGTTAATTATATATAACAGGTTTTGCCCTTACCCAACGTATATTAATAAGCACTGTATGCTTAGTGCTTGTCCGAGAGCTTTAAAAAAAAAAAAAAAATCATAAGCTTACTCAGGTGGGAGCAGGAGGTCGTGGGTTCGAGTCCCACCCGAGTAAGCTTATGATTTTTTTTTTTCTTGAAGACAATATCTTTTTAATCTTGTCTCTTAGCTATTTTTCTTCCCTTAGCATCTGTGTTAAAGGTAGTGTACACTTCTGGTAAAATACCCCATGTCGACTACCGTATAATCTTGAAATATCTTACTCGAAGTACTTAACAGCTTCAATCAGTCTGTAAAATATTCCTGCCCAAAATGCTGTAGTTTTCAAGAAAACAGAAATTTTGTTCTCTGTTACAATGGCTACAGACAATGACTACATGTGCTGTTTGACAAGCACAATGGTTTATCCACTATGAACACAGGGTGAGGGTTCCCCTTGATTTCTCTGTTTTCTCAGAATGATGCAATCTACATTCAGCATGTTCAAAATTCGCATCTTAGCATTAACAGAAAAAAAGCCCTTTTTAGCTTGTTATAGTTGAGCTTTGAAGACAAATGACAATGCATTTGACACAAAATGCTTCCATATTTATTCGAACAGATAAAATCAGAGAAAACATGTTTTCCTTTGAGTTGCTCTTTAAAGAATTTTTATTCACCTGAATTTCATTGGGCAGGATGGTCCCAGTCTTTGGCTCCACACTGATCAATGCTTCCTCCTCTTGACTACATTTCCAAGTGAATTGTAATGGAATGCGGGAAACGTTCCTGATTACGTAGCTATGCTGGGATGAAGTACCGATGCAAGTTGGTTTTAAGAACAGCACTCCCTGGTACAAAATAATAAGGCAACAAGAGAACACTCATTCATCAAACAAATGACAATGCTTCAAGGTTTTACACTTTCATAGAGCCATGTCATTGATGTCATTAGTGAAAGTTAATGGGGTTATCACGTTTTATTCATAACCGACACTAGAGTGATCCATTTTCTTCCCTTTAACTTAGGATATGAACATATCTGACCCGTTGTGCAGAATGTTTTGAAGCAAATCTGACTTTACAGATTATCTACTTTCATGAAATAAGGAATTTAGAGATTTGGAGAAAACAAGCTTTGAAAAATGACAAATGTACTGTGACAAACCAAGAAGAGCACAAAACCATAATTTCTGGAGTCTTCATGTTCAATCAATATTCAATAACAACATTTCTTTATGACAATTTAAAGTATAGCTACATGTATTAAGCAACCAGAATACATGGTAAAAGAAAATAGCTCTGACGAACAGATATTTTTGGGTGGAGGAGATTCATTTTGTACATGAAAATGTATAAGTGCATCAGTGATTAGTTAAAACTAAAATATTGATGCCTGATAATCATTTCGTACTACAATTTGTACAATTCTCACTGTTATTTTATCATTTACACCAATTCCAGGATTTGCCACTAAATAACTTGATGTAGTAATGAGTCGTACACATGGATTTACTTCAACAAGCTTCAGTGGACATGTCACAATCCTCTTTTGTGTGTACACATGGTCTCTTTGAAACCATTACTGAAGATCACATAAGCTGTTAATGGGGTTAAATGTTTTCCATCAAAAATCTAAACCAAATCAGAATTGTGACAAGTAGACTTCAAGTTGAATGTTTCAGACTAACCTCTGAATCTAGTAGGATATTAGGCTGCCCAGATGAGCCCAATAACTCAATAGTTCTGTTGTGTTTACTGTCATCATTTAATTGGAACTGAAGCTGGTGTCTTTGTTGCATGTTCTCCTGCTGAGGTGTGGTTTTTACAACCAATAGCTGATACTTGTCTCGAAGGAGGCCTTTAGTTGGTTTGACTTGGAATGTGCTGTTAGAAACATTCATGTATAGAAAGAAATACTTTTCATCAGCATCCTTTTGTACCTAATATAGTGTAGCTATTCCTGTTAGTCGAGAGCCCATCATGTGGTTGGTAAAACACCAGCTGGTTGATCTTAAAATACTTTTCCAATGTCACATGAAATACAGACTCCTGTGAAACTTCCTCCACTTTCTCCTGTACTAGTTGAATATTTACAATATTCACTTATGTTTGTCCAATACAGTGGAACACAGCAATAATGAACATTGCTATATTGGACATTCGTAAATACTGAACATCCCCCTTGGCTCCTTAATTTTCTGTGCACCTTCATTTAACATTTACAAACTTGTTTTTAACAAACAAAACACATTTAGCACTGACAATAATGACTCAAAGTTGAGGAAACTTACTATGATGGCACAACAGCCAATACATGGCATGGTTTGTATCATTTGTGGGAAGCATGCATTTCATGTGATGTGCATGTGTCCACAGGCGGCCATCTAGACCAGCTGCCGAGTACGTGTACGCTATGCAATACTGGCAACTCTGCATGAAAACCTTGCACGATAACCACTTATCAAACTGGGGCATTTGAGCTCAAAAACTACCAAAAAGGAAATAAATATGCAGACAGGCATCAGCATTTGTTACTTGACAAGCAGAAATCTCCGATAAATATTTTGCTAGTTTCAACCTTTTTAAAAATGCTTGCCTGACATGTCATTGCCGACTTCAGACATGTACACAATTGTGCATCCAGTGCTACTGTATTTGAATGGTTCACGGGGTGACCCATTTATTAAGTGCCATCTTATCAACAAGTCACATGCGATTTCTAAGCACAGACTCAAGGAAAACTTGATTCCATTTTGCAATTCTACTTCCAGTAAGGACTACACTTCAGATGAAACGTGTAACAAAAAATATGTATTGGAACAAAAGACCTGCTGCTGGGAATTGCCATAATTTTTCGGCTAGCATATTTTTAAGGTAATCCGTCACTGTTTTTAAACAGTACGCCACTGTTTTGGGCATTGTGTGCCACGGATTAGCATCACGGCCAAAAGTACTCAAGGGCCCCATAGATGAGCGGCACAGCACCACTGCATGCTAATCCAGCCGCGTTTGAAAAGATGCCACTTGCATTCACTGCAGACAAAGGAAATTATGCAACACATCACAATTCTGGGCTCTCTTTACAGGGTGGCAGGCCTGGCTCAAATACTCAGGAATCAATGAAGGTTGCCTGTCAGCTTAGAGTAGACCCCAAACAGTCATTCATGTGGGTGTAAACGTCCATCAAATGAAATGATGAATTTTTGAAGAATTTTGAAAACTAAAAATCTTTAAAATCTCCCATATGTGTGCATTGCATTTTTAAAAGTACCCATCAGCAAGTGGCTAACATTTAAAAATGCTGGGATTTTCAGTCTTTTTTATTTCAACTTTTTTGTGCATTTAAGTTGCAGCCCAATGCCTCATGTCAAAATAGTTTGTGGGGTGGGCGGGCCAGTACACATTTGAATATGGGCTGGAGTTCTGGAATGGGTGTATGCATCCGTGAAAATCTTTATACAGAACGACCACAATACCAAAATTTTGTGTGGACCCCGTCATGTTCCTTGTAGCGGCATTTCATTGTACTGCCAATTAGTCTGCATTTTGAGAGTCCCAAATTGACACTACACTGGCTCATTGCAATCTCACATAGTTTAATCTCCATATAAGAAGAATATTTTTGACTACTTGCAAGAGGCAGATACCATAATATGGCTAGAGGGGTCTTTGAAAAAAAGTGACATAGATATATCTTTAGAAATTTATAGCTTTAACCTGGTGTAATATATGACTCCAAAGGTATTTATAAATGGGAATAAAGATATGCATGGCTCGTCTTAAATGTCTGTTTAAGACTGGATTAGGAGAATGGACGATGATTTATGGCCCAAGCCAAATTTTTTTGTGTAAAAGTAAATGGCCAGCGGACCACTGTTAATTTTGACCCCTGTGGAGTAATACACAGAACATATTCTTCACAAAATAGATGCGGTAATGTCATGTAATTTTGAAGGTAGTTAACTATAATATGCAGGAAGATGCTTCAGAGATGATGGTTAAATACAAAGAGTGTGGCAAACAACAAACCCTGGCCGGAGTTTGGGTTAGCAAAGGTAACAACCTGCAATCTGTCCGGCAGTCGTTATCTGACATGACTTTACAAGCAAGTTTGATTTTTAAACTGGGCATAGACTAATGAACAATTTTTTGGGGGAAATTTTTTTCTAATTTTGTAAGGTGGGAGGGGGTCAAGAGATTAAGCCTACTAATTAATTAAATTGAAAGAATTGTTATCAGTGTCTATGCACCTACATTCCAAATACCAACTGAAAAATGTCCTCTTCCACAATAGGCCAGCACAAGTTCCTGCAGCAGTCCTAAGATGTGATCAACTTTTCTTCTTGGGTAATTTTAATGCAAGAGTAGGTTCATGTAAATAAGCCAAAGCTTAGCCTGACGTTACTAGCACTCACATCCTCAGTGACATCAACAAAGTGAGAGGCTGCTGTAATAAACAAGTTGAGAGGATGCTGCAGCTTCGTATCCACTTTATGAGACAGTTAACACCGGGCTGCTTTCTGCTCCTTACATTCTAGGGTCTGGAATAGGAAGGGCCTCTCTTTCTCTACAAGGCTTGTGGTCTAGCAGCCAATTGTTCTCTAATTCCTCTTATATGGAAGAGAGAATTTGAAAAGCGTGTTCATTAATGTTCACTGAGGCTGAATGTGAAGATCAAATAGTACCACCAAATCACTAATAATGACATTCTCGGCCTTGCAAAAATGAGGATTGAGACAAGTTAGGAGTAGGATCTGCTAGCTTGGTCAAGTCTGCTTAACAACTGCATTACCACGCATCTGTAATTTGGAGAAGTGGTACATAATGAATGACTGAGAGGAAGAAACAGCATTGGAATGAATGCACCCCAAAAGAATCTGAGTATCTTTGGTTTGAAACCCTCCAAATGGTACCACTAAACCTTCCGTTACATGGTGTGGAAAGCTCAGACAAAACATGGCACAGCTCAAACAGAAAACCAGCTCACCCTTTTGAGCTGAAAGCATCCACAGACATTGAGAGTCACCCATTGTCAGACGTGACAAGCTTGTACTACAACAATTACTTGTAACAACTCATACAATAGTTAAGTATACCTACCTTGAAGGGCCTTTTGGCAGCATGTAGTGAATTGGTGTGGAGCCATTATTGGTCATCAAAATAGTCTTGTAAAAAGAATCCCCTGAATACACGGCTGGAAAAACCTGCAAAATATTGTAATATCAATAATGGTGAGCGTTTATAGTGTACAATCCAAGAAACTAGATTGCGCCACTGATTACCAATATTGAAGATCACTGAGCTCATAAACATTCCTATAATTATTTCAGCTCCCTGAGAATTATATGCTGCAAAATCAGTTGAATCTCTACACTTACAGGTACCCATTTTTACCTCCTGAGAGGAGACAGGCTTGCCCAATGTCAAACCTCTTTGCCCAGTTGCTTCATTCAAACTGACAACCTTTTTTGAGTTAACACCGTATCCACTAGGCTACATGTCCTAAAGAAATGTTTTCCCGGTAGGTTTCAGTAAACATCCACTGAAGTTAATAAATGAGCTGAGTTACCACTTTCTGTGCATCAAGGGTGAGTTTGGGCAAGAAGGTTTCACTGTTTGGCTGAAAGGTATGACCAACAGCAGAGACAGTCAGACACCATGGAGGGCAGAAGGTCTCATCTTGTACCAAACGATAGTCTCGCATGCTCTGCAAATAATGTAACATTAATGTTGAACAGCATCCTAGCATTTATGTACACATGAATTATCTGTGAAAAGTAGCAATGAGGGACTTGAATTACTCCACACAGACTGGTGTGACTGGAGGAAAAAAAGTATTGGAAGGGTAGGCTCTGCCCAAGCTGAAAGAACTTACATGTACATGCAAGTAGGTTTTCTGATTTTTACTTTCAAAAACCTCCACATTACATTTGAGAATGAACAGTCTTTTCGACACTTTTGGAGGGAGCAATAAAAAAAAAAAATGGCGAGAATAATTCATTTGAAAAAGGCAAATTTCCATATAAATAAATCTAAAACCTGCTTAACTGTTTCACAAAAACCTTAAATATTAAGTTAGATAAAGTTCCAATGACGTTCAAGTCAACAGTAACACTTTCTTTCAGTAGTTTCAAGATCATAACTCACCTTGTAAAATGCGTATCCTTCGAGCTCTACAGCAAAAAATTGATTGGGTGCTCCCTACAATCCAAAAATTAACTGGATATGAGACTTAGAATCACAGAACATAAAAAGTGTCCCTCACATAAATACATGTGCTTAGTACTTACAATTAAATTCTTTAATTTGGAATTGTCTCACACTCAGCATAATCCACAAATGGGTGTGTATATTAACAAAAAGTCTGAAAAAACACCTGTGCTATATTTTGTTTATTCCCTCCATGCATTTCAGCATTAACAAATATAAATTAAACAATCAACAAAATACCAGATTAGCTTAAACTTTTGCAGGTGATGAAAAGCCAAGTGTTTATCAAATATTTTGTTGATGACTACACTAGTTTTTCCCTTTCAAAGCATGAAATGAACAAATGAAAGCCACTACAGAGCAAATTGGATTCGTGAATGCACTGAAGACATAATACATATTGCTTAGTAAAAGTATAACAGAAACTAAATTTTCACTTTTTTTGGTTGCCATAAAGATATCAAGATTACAAGGCCCAGCTGCATGAACTGAAGCTACAGAGGTCACAACAATATGGTTTTTCTTCATCCTCTTTTTGATTTCCCTGGCACTGCACTTTATCTTATACACGTAACTAATTCATATGTAAAGGCTGGCTGTCCTGTAAAGGCCGGGTGCCCTGTAACTAAATAACTAACAAGAGACATACATGTAGGCAACCATTATCTCACTTTCAGATCTCTGACAAGCAAAACCAGGGAAGACAGACTGCAGGGGTTGAAATTGTTTTTCATGGTAACCAGGAGAATCAGCACTTTGATAAATCTACTTATCCTACTGATAGTTCGATGGTCTTAACATGTCGGCTGCCGCTTATAATTTCAAAGGGGCATTCCCATTTGCAAAGTGTTGTACGCATCTGCATGTATTTAACAGGCGCCTTTCCGGTGTCTATTTGAACATGAGCATTTTACAAATGTACATCCTCAACAATGCCAGAAGCACATTTGTTGTGTTTTTTGGTGATGCCAGTGTATTTAATTTATATTACATGTACAGTAGCCTTTCATTTCCTACGAGTCTACTCATAGAAGCAGGATCCAGTATCCATGTGACTACAGGTATACTTGTAGGTGGCAGTCAACGTATTAACTTAATTCTAGACCAAAATCTGTGCTCCCAGAAACAAATGATGATTTAGGACCATCCTTGTCCTTAGAAAACTTGATACACCAACTACATACTCAGCGCATTCCATGGTTACTCTCATCATATTCCAGCCAGTCCCATATCTCTCATCAAGGAAGGTTAGAAATGTTGTGGCATGTCTTTGTCATAAATTGTTTCTTTGCTCAAGGGAAATTACACCTTTCAGAAAAATGGCCACATGCTTGCAAATCTACCAAACCATTGGTTATAGTGTGCTTGTCCTGAGGAAAATTTGGCTTCAACACGCATTTTCAGCAACTTTATTTTGTGTGCAGTTTGTTAGGGTACTGATGCTGAAGGTTGTGCAAATGTAAAAATTATGAATGGAAGTGTGAAAAACAAGTTCAACATACACTGGCTGGAATAAAAAAGTGATGGATGTTTCATTGTTGACTAACGTACTTATGCTTTTGGCTAAAGGGATCAATGTAAAGCATGCACAGTGCATCGTATGCCATCAGACTGTACATAACATTGTCAAGTCCCCTAACATTGTGCACAAGAATTCAGTTGAGTGTTCCCTGAGCATGCCCAAATAAACGTGGAAGAAATTCTTTGAAGTTGATAAATTCTCTGTAATTATTACTACCTCCACTTACCCAACTACCAGTTTGTTAGAAGATTCTTTTTGCATTTTGGGTGCATTTTTCGGGAGTTCGTTTTGGACTTCAGAAAAAATAGAAAAATCAAGCCAAAATAGAAATAGACATTATTGTAAAATTGAGATTTTTAAATCAGAGTGTTGGGAGTTTCCGATTTCACTTATAACAAAATTCGAGGTCAGAACATTGCTCCAGCAAGGCACACAAGGTGAAAAATCAGAGTGCACCACATCAGGGTACATCAACATATCCTTTTGCAAGTAAGTCATCACCAACCACTCAAGAAAGCCAAGACAAGAGTTCACATTTTTGCAAGCAAAATGGAGGCCAGATTTTTTTCAACAGTACAATTCAGTTCATAGAAAAAAGAGGCAGGATCCTCGGGTGTATCTAGCCATTGATGTTCATTAAGTGCAGCTGTTTTAGGCAGGATCCCGTGAGCAGGTATTTTACCCCTATTTTAGGTACTTTATGCGTGCTTTACCTACTTTAAAAATTTTCTGGCCCTAGACTGAGAACCCACTTGCTCTGAAAACTCTCTGAAAGACCAATGTTTTATTTTTTTCTTTTAGATGGATATTCAGCGATTTCATGCAGTTCTATTGTGAGAAAGAAACTGCCACAAAAATTAGGTAATTACTAAGCAAATATTGAATAGCAGTTCTTCATTTGCAAACATTTTGAGGAAATCAAGCACTGATCTTAGGTAAATAAAACTTACAGTAATTGGTAAGGAACCTGGGTGAGAATATTGTCTATTGGTACTTTAAACAAATGGCAAAACAGAGAAAGCTCTACAGGAAACTGGAAATCTGAATTTAAAAAAAAATGCTCATTTAACGTGATTCAGTACTTTTTAAGAGAAACTTCAATCCATTTTGGATTGTGCAGAGTTTTTGATGGTTCTTCAGATCTGAAAACATTATTTTAGCCTATTCAGAACTTAAATTAAAACTTTTAAATTCATTACAACCTACACTAATGACACATGCTTACATGGTTGTAATCCCATACAAGTCATTCAATGCAAGCTAAATTAACTGTGACCTGAATAAATACTTGATACCTATTACCAGTGGTGTGAATTGTGTTCGAAATGCACTTGCACAGCTATGGCAATTTGAAAAGTGTGGGGTGAGGGAGGTTGGCTGTCACCATGACACTACATAGGGAGCGGTTTCATGATACAGATGTACATGTACATCAGTAATATGTATTATATTCCAACAGAACCTCACACCATGCACACTTGGGCAACATATTTATGGGTTTTTATTGTTCTCTTTCTGAGTGCTATTGAATACATGATAGTTGTTGGGAAGTTCAACAAATTCTTAACAATCCCCCTTAATTTTTTTTCTCACTACAAAAAAAGTTGGGGGATGATTCCAAAGCCCACCCCCCTCAAAAAAAAAGAAGAAATAAATAAGAAAATGAAAAAATGGGGAAGATGTACTCCCCAGATTTACACAAATGCCCATTACAAGAAATGAAATAAACAGAAGTGGGTCCTTACTGGTTTGAAGGATATCCTGAAAGATGTCATCTTGAGGGGTGGGATATCACATGTGATGGGTGTGACTGAAAAGACGTTGGAAACATCTGTCATCCATGTCACTGTCATCTTGCCCTTGGTGTGGTTGGTGACATTCACAGTCTTGGACTCTATGTGACCCAGATTTAGGCACTGGCCAAAGTCGACTTGGACGGAATCAACACCAACATGAAGTGTTTTCTATCAATAACATTTTAAGGAGAAAATACACAATTGTTGAAACAATCACCCAAATTTCTAATGAACATTTAATGCAAGGTTGCAAGGTAAAAGTACCTCAGGGTTCTTCTCAAATCTCATTTAACAACATATGAATATCATTTAAAATGGTCAATGAACCAGATGATTTCAAACAGATTATGACAATTTGGGGAGAATACTGTGGCAGGTTGTTTCCCTGCACCTAAACTAAGTTTGAGGGGTCAAGTCTGAAACCAGTTGGAGTCTTGACTCTAGCCTAAACTCAGGTTCCTCCTCAGTCCAGAGATCACTCAGAGTGACCTAAAGGTTAAGGGAGCAGATCCGTTTTGGTGGAAATACATGTATACTGCTGATTATGATGACCATGATGCTCTCTGCAATTTGGTGATACACAACAAAAGGACACCTGACAATTAGATGCCGGTAACCTCAAACAACAATGAGATTTTTGAACATTCAACAAACAATTAATTGATTAAGTGGTTAGGGATAATTTGTTACAACCTTTTACAAGCTTTATTACAACCTCTATTGCTCTGCGTGGTCTTGAGGAGAGGCTACAAGCAATACACAGCTAATATTGCACTCCGTCATGCCAAATAGCAATGCACTGACTAATTTTGCCTTAATGCAACATTGCTTTGTGCAATGCACAGTTCCCTTTGAATTGTATTTTTACTATTTTCTTTCTTCTTTATGGTACACCCTAAACCACTTTTTTTTTTTGCTGTTGGAGTTTCAACTTGATTTAGCCTGCACCATTAACACCTGTGCTTTCATAGAGAGTGAGATCCCCTGCTTGAAAGTGGAGTGACCCTTGATGGGGTGGTGCTCTGGTCTGGGTGGTGTGGTCCAGCATGCTTAAATGCTGTACCATCTACTACCTATTCCAATCACCTCTTCTGTGTTCTCTCTTTTTCAGCCTGCCAGAATTACATATGCACTACACTAGTAATGCAATCCTCATTATTATGCACAGACAAACTTAAGAAAGTTCATACACTCTCTGCTAAAATAAAAAAAAACAACATTACAGGATTAAATATTCAACTACGGATGGGGATCATACTTACCGTCTGTCTGAACAAAGGTAGGGCAAAAGATGCAGGAAGGTGTGTGAATAACTTGCGACAAGTCAATTTTCCTTATTAATATTAGTATCAAAGTAATAGTAATTTTGCATACATATTGCAATTGTGCATTCTCTTTTTGAAAAAATTCATCAAAATAGATCTGACCTTATCTTTAATTGGGCAGATTAGAACCTAATGGTTTTTAAGCACTATTTGTATATTGTCAAGTATTCTTACCTCTATCAGACGGAACACATCCTTTTCAACAGGATACAACACAAGGGGGGTTTACAGTACTCAAAATACAAGTACATAAAGTATTTTCTTCAAGAGATAAAGCAAAATGCAATGCCACATGCCATTTTTCAAAACTTCTAAGTCTGTTCATTCTCTCACCTTTCTTTTAGTGCCTTTTTTAAAACAGCACATTTCCAGCACCGCACTGGTAACACACGTTTATTATGTCTAGACACGGGCTGTGACTGGATGGTCAGCATTTGAGCGGTGCACGAATACTGCGATTGCGCAGGTGGCAGCAGCCAGGCTGTAGCCATGGCATGCACAAAGCTTGCTTCAGTGTGGTCACGTAGCCACCATAAAGAATCAAAGATTGGACTGCAAGCGTGTGGGCTACATTTGGGCCTCAATAACAATCAGGCTTGCTTGAAAGCCAGGATTTACTGTGGCTGTGGTTGTGACAAATTGATTACAAAGGCACTGGCAGTAAGTACACTCATATCTTCATGCAAAAAGGAGAAGTGCGGTTTGCACAAAGGACCCATAATTTCAGCATAATATTCTTTTTCCACTCATTGTCAATGATTTGGTGGTGGCCTTTAAAAAACTTTGAGTTAAGTGGAATTATTTTGTATATAAAAGCCTTTTCTTTTGGGGGAACAAAGAATGTCTTCAAGATAAGTGGAGATTCGAGTCAACCAACTTTGAGTTATCGAGAGTTAACTGTACATAAGCATTATCCTGTCACCACTTACAATCTGTTACCAAATTACCGTGGGAATTAATACTTCCCATTAACTATTAGGTGGTTAGGATTACAGGTCGTTCATGTATGTCAAAAAAGCTGACATTCAAGACTTCAACTCATTCATTCAACTCTGGCTAAGTTGGAAGATGGGCACAGTCATCAGTGCTCTCAGGAAATAAGAATCCCCAAAGTTCATTATTTTCTAATGTCTCATATTTTGTAGAACCTACCATAGCTAATTAACAATGGCTTTCAGATATTTATTGTTTCAATTTTGGCTGAAATTTTCTGGGTCCGAGAATTCTATTTCCATGCAATTCCTATTTCCATGTTGGTGATCAGATGTCAGAATCACACACCATTGTGGAACTATTCATTGTAGATCCACACAAGCAGAAAATTAGGAACAAATAAAAAAAAAGAAGGGTTATCAAAGAATCAAAAACAACTATTCAGTTAACTTACACTTGTTGATCCATAGCAACCATCACTGAAACATTCTGCCATTGCTGGTTCAGGATCTTCTTGATTGAGGTAGGTTTCAACTGATTCTGCTTCTTGGTGTATAAGACAGCCCTTGTCATCCAGCTGTAATTTACCTTCCTTCAGAATCTCATTTAATTGCTGTACAAAGACAATCAAGAAAATGTCCCCAAAACATTCTACCCATATCTCTTTCATCAGTTACAATACATGGATATTAAAATGAAATTTCATATTGTTGTGCAGACTCACAGCGCGTTCCCACTTGAATTGGGAAAAGGTGGATCTTGATCCAGCGTTTTGGTGTGATCGTTATCTTACCACAACGAAACCGCAAGTCGCGTTCCCACTAGCGCTTGATCCACCTTTTCAGACGGAAATGTTACTGAGTTCGGTATTGAGCATGTGCTAGCTTGCTAGCGTGCGCTCTGTGGCAGTGTGGCGTGCTGAGGCGGCATGCCTGTGACCCTGTGGTGTTTTGGGTGCGGAGTTCTACTGACATGACGACCTTGAATGGGACCGAATGTTCAGCCTAGTACATTGTCTCTTCAAACTTTGCTTCCGTTTTTGATACTCTGTCACATGGTGCGGGCTATACACTAACAAGGAATTAGTTTTTGATGGAAAGCAAGTGAAATTACACAAACGAAAAAGGTTAGAAACGGACGAATGTGCAACGAAAATTGTGAAAGGGCAAGGCACACCTCACAGCTTGTATGCATTGCGCATGCGTGGTGACACATTTTGCTAGCCCGTAGTTCAGCGGTTGTTAATTATGCATGCAGTGCTCGCTAAAAATTTCACATGAGCTACATGCCAAAAAACATATTTCTTTGTTCATCAGACCGCAAAAGTTTCGCACCACTCGTGCGCGGACGGATGTTGACAGGTCAAATTGCCGGATCAGATCCACTTTTTGCATTCCCATCTGATCGTAATCCGCCAATTGCAGGATCAGATCCACCAATTGGGGGATCTGTATCCTGCTCCAGAGGAGCATCAAGAAAGGTGGATCTGATCCTGATCCACCTTGTAACGGTTAGCGTTCCCACTACACACAATTGCCGGATCTGATCCACCAATTAGCGGATCTGATCCACCAATTGGGGGATCTGTATCCTGCTCCAGAGGAGGATCAAGAAAGGTGGATCTGATCCTGATCCACCTTATAATGGTTAGCGTTCCCACTACACACAATTGCCGGATCTGATCCACCAATTGGGGGATCTGATCCGGCAATTTGGCAAAAAGTGGATCAGATCCTCAAATTGGTGGATCAAGTGGGAACGGGCTGCAAAATGCTCTTCAGGCAACTTGCAAGGATTATAATTCAAGTGGATATCTTTACAATGAAGGCAAGATTGTGCCACAACATATCACCTTTATCAGGTACAGTTACTCTGAATAGCTCAATATTAATGATGTCACGCCTTGTTTACATGTCTTCTTTCCAATGGTAGAGAGGTGGGGCATGATCCCTTCAGCCCCCATAGGAAAGTGCATATGTAAACCAAGCATGATGTCATTACATTTTAGGTCTGATCATATAAACACATTCATAAAATTGTTTCTCAAGAATAGCTGACATGAAATTACCTCTGACTGCATAGTTCTGTTTTCTTCGGAAATCCTCCCCAACAGTAGTGAGGAAGTCTGCTAGGGAATACCTACCTGAACAGTTGCTACTTTAGCAAATTTCCTTTCATGGCTTTTACAATATGCTAAAAAACCTGATCAACTTTAAAGCATCCTCTAGTGCTATGATGCAGCCTTTTTTGGAATGCAAGGTCTGAAAGCCAGAGTTGGGAGGATGGGCAGGCACTGACTGTTTGGGTAGGTATTCCCAAGCCGACTCTCCCACACTACTGTGGGGGAGGAGTCCACTGGGCTCATCCTACCCAAACAGTCACCACCATACCCTGGAGGGTTGGCGAAGATGCACTGAATGAGAAAGAAATGTGATTAGTGTCTAGTATGGCCAAAAGAATCAGAAAAAGGGGGAGTGTTAAAACTCACAGAAAAAAAAGAGGAAGCCATCAGGTACATCTGGAGGTGTCCCACCCCAGTGAGGGTTCTCAAGGTCTAGGAGCAGAGGACAGGATTGTCTTGCCATGGGAACAGTACCTTTACGAGACATTAATCAGGTAGCATGAGGTGAAAGTTGAGGATGTTTTCTAACATGTCATCCTGCATATGTTCTCCATCGGGATGTCCCCGGAAGTGTGCCCAAAGGTAGATACTACACTGATGTTGTAAGC